AGGGGCTGCACTGAATTTCACCTCAGCAGAATTTAGTAAAACAGCAGTTTATTAAACACTGCATACTATAGTGCCATTTCTAACTATTGGCAGAGCAGGCAGTTGACCTCTGCATTATGAAGGGCCTCCATAACTGTACCACAGTACAATATAGGTAATGGCATATGTTTCATGTTTACATTGGGCACTCCCCACCAGGTACAATATTCTGATTGTTTGCATCTTGTTTTTAAGCCCATAAATAATAATGTACTCGTTCTAATAAATTTATATTGTAATGTACTCATTCTAATATATTAAAAAAATCATATTTACATTGCTGGTAGGTTATCATTTCACAAATTAGCACACTCTCTACGATTAAAAAATTAAAATTAGAAGAGTTCTAAACTAATGCGATGTCTTCACCGTATCTAACGCAGACACACGCTCAGTCACTCGCGCATTTCAGGAACAAACTTTTTAGCGCTGCCCCGCAATTTTATCAACTAAATATCTTAATCGCTCAAGAACTACATTATCTTTCTCAACAAGGAGCTGGTAACATCAGTGTTTCTAAAGGAATTAAAGCCACAGCTTATGTATTGCCAAAGCAATTGCAGCTGGACTGCTTACAAATAGTACACATATGTATTAACAGAAAGAAAAAGAATAATAATAATAGTAATAATGAATTACTAATGTATGTAAGTATATAAAGATATATATACTACATATACTATATAACTGCAAGCTAACCGGTGTTTTCAGAAAGCAAGCATGTTTATCCACAGTGGAGAGAGAGAGTGCGTGCACATGGTTGCCAGGTTGACAAAGATAAGTAACACACTTAGTAGATATTTCCGTATTGCGAAAGTGTAAAGCTCTGTGTCGGGGATTACGTCTCTTCAAATCAGGCAACCCAGTCGTTAGTATCACTCCGCTTGCCGAAGTTGCCGTATTTCTCACAGCGAGTGTTATGGCGGACACCCAAATCCACGATAGTTTTAAAAATAATACTGTTTTGTGTCACGAAATGCAGTTTTAAGAGTTAGGTGAGAATGTGCTTGCTTGGACGTCAAATATTCGGTTTGTTAATAAAGATAACATCTGTTTGAAAATTTGCTTCGACATGAGATATAATTCGTTTTGGGTAAATCTAACGGGCAGTCTTTGGTCTCATTAAACTATTATTTGTTACAGAGCAAATAGTTTTAGCAAAATCTTATGTTTATGTAAATTAAATGCTGTATAGCCTACAGTATATCGGGCTGCCTTTGTACGGTTGACTGGATTGCCTAGCAACTTTTATGATAGCTGTTGTTGTTGTTTATTAAATATGATTATTCAATAAATAATATTTTATATAAATAATAATAGTATTTAATAATAGTGTTTATTACCGAGACATGGTGCGTGTGTTCGTGATGGTGATTTTAGTTACATTGTTCCGCCATTAGATGGCGACAAGAGTCAGTACTGTCAGAGCCTGTTTTATGAGTCAGTACTGCAGTAAAGACTTTTACATGGGGAAGTAGTGGCCT